ACTAAGAGCTGTTCGTATCTGCTACTGAAGGTCATCATGCATGGATACGTACGATCCATGACATAAAACAGGCCAGGTACAGCAGGCGTGCTCGCAACCGTACCAAGTGGAATTTTTAAGTTGTGACTTTGCGCAGGACGCCATACCACAGGGTCAACATGTATAACCTCTCCTTCTAATTAACTCCTACCCGACGTATTCTTAACGACGCCACAAGGAAAGTTGTGCGACCAATAGGTCGATTACCTAACCCAAGCAGGCTTATACACCATAGAGAAACTTAACAAACAATTATAAATTCCACGTTGCTTCTACCTTAAGGCAGGCGCCTGCCGAAGAATGTTAATATTCTAGCGATAATTCGTAATATTAGTTGCAGACTGATATAAGTTCTAAGGAAATACGTTATTTTAACGGTGTGCCTATTGCAGGGACTAAGTATCAGTGAACAAGCAGACTTGGCAAAGGCTGATGACCACTGATTAAAAACAGACGTCTACCTTTCTTCATATTGGCTAGTAGTCGCAAGAAGTGCTTTATAGTGATACAGATACGAAGTTTCATATATTGATACACTTCAGGTGCCTGAAAATGCAAATTAGTCGGATCTTTATCAAAATTGACTAATTTTGGCTGAATAGCCGACTTTTGGACATACAGACGTGCCTCTCTGTAACCGGCAGTAAGCTTACAGAGAAACGAACAACCTTCATTTCTTTTGAACCCAGTCATTTCATTATAGCAATGGCACGCTGAACTAAAAAAAACTGTGCTAGATATAACAGCCGAGAGTTTTCCAAATAACCGTTCAAAACCAACAGATATGTCGCCCATGGTCCGCCTACTATTCAGAGGACTTCTATTTTCATTGATTCAAGGTAGAACGCAGACAGATAAGGTATTTACGGTCGTCAGACACAGTAACTGTGGATAGTGAACAGTTTTTTTAACAACAAAACCTTAAAAAAACTTCCCCAAACACAAATCGTCCATGTAAAGGCCCAAAAAACCTGAGAAAAAAGTCCTCAGATTATTAAATACGGATTGTTTGAAAACATTCGTACATCATTTGTATATTATTGGAGGAACAGTATCTAAAAAAAGGCTGAACGGGCATCAGATGGGTCGATTCTACAGTTTTTTTCCAAAGGATTAAGTAAAATCAAAGTAATTAAGAGGGCCAAGAAATGCGCAAAGTACGACTTCCCAAACTCTAATTGGCAAAGAGGTCACCTCCAGCCGACCAGAAGATTGTGGAATATCTACATAAGTCCGAGGAACCGACAGTTCCGTTAAGAGCTTGAACTTGAGAGACCAAATGAAGACCAGAAGAAGGGACGGTGGATAGGGCCATTGAGATATCCTCTTCGCTAAAGTCTAGTTTTTTCAAATGGACGATTGGCCCCAGGGCTGAAATTGAGCCTGCGACAAAAACCGTTTGGTTTATTGAGTTGCAGAAGTTGCTGACAGTGTCCTGCACAGCCAGTCCTTTGGGCGCAATAAGAACGAGAGAATTGCCAAGCGCAACAGCACTGAATACAAGTCGTATGAGATCAGAGTTTAAGTCGGCAGATTTAAGTAGAATCAGAAGTGGTCCCGCTGGCTCCTGAGTGTTGCGAACAGACACTAGTCGTTTTAGTTCAGAAGAAAGCGCAATTTCATCCTGCAAGTTGTTTGTATATGCATTCTGTAAATTGTGTTGGCAAGCGGCGTGAATCCCATCCAATGTCGAAACAAACGGAGTGCACTCCTTGACTTTTCGAAGAGCCGACGAAAGCTGTGTAAAATGCAGTTCTTTTAAACCTGTTTGAACTTTTTTTGCTGAGCAACAAACTTCGAGTAGTTCTTTACTGAGTGCCGGATTGATTGCTTTGTGCGCTAATGCGTAAGGGGGAGAGGCAGGCAAAACTTTAAAGCGCTCACCATCATTTTGAGAGCACAATGTAAGGTAATAGGATGAGCAAAGCCGTGGCAAATCAGAGTTTACAGCTAGGATTGAATAGTCAGAGAGCTTGGCCAACACCTGCCAAGCCAAACTTGACTTGTCAGTCCAGATCGTTGCAGACTTTGGAAGAGTATTCTTGAAGCTATGTGTACCAACGATTTGACTCTCTCTATCACAGAAATATTGAGCTAGTTTGAGTCCTTCTTTTGGCGTTCGGAATGGAATAACGATAGAGCAGGGACCCAATGGCAAGCATTTGTATTTGTCCAGAACGCGAGAGGCGGGTGAAATACCAAAGACAAATACTGGACCGTGCACCTCAGAAGGACGCATAACCTCGCCCCCCTCGCTAGAGGCAAGGTCGACCAAATTATCGATATCAGCCTTTACAAAAGAAGGCACCCGACAGTGGTAACGAAGGTGCGCATTTTCATCTAGCAGCTCATTGTCACCATTGTCGGCGACAGGATTAAGTAGTTTCTTTACTCTTGTTTGGAAGTCCTTTTCTAAATCTTGCTCAACCAATACGATCGAGGGCCGCCAGGATGTCAGCCCGGCGTGGTAGGAAGAAGCATTTACGATAGCGCGCGCTGCGCAATCAACGTCGGCCGTATGAAGTACTAGGTGAATAGAAGAAATTTTTGGACTTTGAATAGGGGCTTCCTTGACCGGAATAAAAGAAAAAAGGTCCGGTGGAGGGCCAGCTGCGCAAATAGCTTGGCTCAAAACAAAAAGTGGTAACATCAATCGTTCCGATGCGCACGAAACTGTGACACCTCTGCCATGCGAGAATGACCGAATGATTTTGGTGCACACAAGGAGCAAGTCAGACTCGTTGGAAGTAACAATAATTAAATCGGGCGAACTCTCTACAGATTCCGTTTCTAGCTGCAGAGTTTTTAAACGTTTGCACGCCTCTGTTAAAAGTGTGGTATAAATGGGCTTATCAAAGAGAGACAGATCACTGAATCTTGTTTCGCATGTGGCTGTAAGAGCTTCGGAAGCCAACTGAAAATCGTTGGGCGATGACGAGGACAGGCGTTGGAGAAATTCGCTAACTTTTGCAAGTGGAATGGAAGACTTGCCCATCCCAGCACGCGATTCAAGATACTTCGAAGAGCATTTTACAGTAACTGCCTTCGGAAGCAATTTCAGTTGTTGTGTGAACTCCTCCGATATGAGTTCATTAGCGCAATCAACATGGCCGACGGGGCGGAT